TGTTCCAAAAGAGCATGTCTTAAATCAGTATCTCTTAAGCTCTCCTGGATCAATGCTTGAAGATGATTTAAGAGGGGGAAGATCTATCTATGCAGAGGAGAGGGAACCAAGGAAAAAAAGAAACATTTGATCCAGAGAGGTACTGAATGACACTAAAAGTCTCCTTGTTCATGCTGTACTTGGCTACAAATAATTTTTCAGCCCTGCTTTTTTTTTTTTTTTTTTTTTTTTTTTTTTTTTTTAATAAAGACAATTTTAAAGAGGAGGTTTAGGACTGAATAGATCAGTAGGTATAGAAATGGAAATGGCAAGTAATAGAGAACATCGTTGCCAGAGCAAACCTGGATATAAATACACCTCTCTCAAGCATCTGTCAGTTTCTTTTGCTGTTGGAAAATATTTCCTATGAACAAAAAAATTGCTTGTACAAACTTCTGAGGAAAGTAGGTGTGAATGGTGACACACATTCCAATTCCAGCGTTTATTTGAAGGAGTATTTGCAAATATTTTTTACTGGTGTTTAGCCAGCTCTAAAAGAAAGCAGCTTGCCCATGGTATATAAAAGTGGTAGCAAAGCTAAAAAATAAAATCTAGGAGCAAAGAGCTCCCCTTGCTGAAGATTTTTCCTGAATTACAAGTCTTTTTTTTATTCCATTCAGGTTTTATGTTTTTTTCAAACAAATAATTTATGTCAAAGAAACTCGAAACTGGGTTACAATAAAACCATCATTGATAATTTGCAAAGCTCTTGCTAATAACTGCTGTAAAAGCATGTTAGTACAATGAAGTCTGAAAATCCATCATTTCAAAGCACAGGCCCCCTTTTTCTTGCCAAAAATCCTTTACTGCTATACCAAACCTCTGACAGCATATCCCAGTTTGCACTACCATAGCATCCAAGCAGCTGTCTGAACAGCCCTTCATGAAGGAAATAAGGATTACCATCACTTTTTTGGATGGGGATAACCACACTGAGAGAGACAAAGACCATTCCCCACGCTCTCCTTGAAATCTTGCTGGTCAAATCAACTTGATCCAACTCAAAAGGAAGAGTAGGGTTCACCTCACTTGTCATGAACCTGCCATCGAAAACATGTAACTTTATCCAGACTAGTTGTCCAGACTCCATTCCCAAATGACAGAGATGTCCTCCAAGAAGTGCTTTCAGCCCACCTGTCTAACACCACAGTCCAATATCCCCGAGTGCTGCTGCAAAGCCAGACCGAGAAGCCGTCTTCTGAGGTTACATCTTCCCACTCTTTCCCTTTGGCCAGCATTATCATCCATGTGGATATGCTGTGAGCTGGATGAAAGGAGGACCATATCTCTCCTTTGGAGATTAAACTGGTGGTGTAACTACAGCCTGAACTGCTTAGCTCAGCCTAGAAGAAATGCAGTCTGGCCATGTCTGGCTCTTCAATGATAACAGAGAGAACATAGATGACAACATTTTACCAAATTTAAAAAAAAAAAAAAGGTGAATCTTGCCTGACATTTTGCTTTTTCTTCATCTTTTGCAATCTACCTGCTCTAACCCTAACAACTAATTAAATATTTTGGTAATTAAAGCTTTTGATCTTTGGCATATCTGTACATCAATTGCAATGTATATTTCAACTGTTAAAGCAACATTTTGGTGAGACTGTTTTGTTAATATAATTGAAGAACAGCATTCTCAATAAGGAAAGTGTTTGGTTTCTTGACTATCACACAACATGTTCCTAGGTTTCTTCTCTGACACAATGAGGAAATGGCACTGGAACTGGGCAATATCTCTGAAAATGGTGATGGAAGGAATGGAAAAATGATGTAGCATACTAAATCACAGAAACACAGAATCATCTAGGTTGGAAAAGACCTTGTAGATCATCTAGTCCAACCATTAACCTAACACTGACAGTTTCCAACTACATCAGATCCCTCAGCGCTATGTCGACCCGACTCTTAAACACCTCCAGGGATGGGGACTCCACCACCTCCCTGGGCAGCACATTCCAACACCTAACGACCTGTTCTGTAAATAAATGCTTCCTAATATCTAGTCTAAACCTTCCCTTGCATAACCTGAGGCCATTCCCTCTTGTTCTATCGCTTATTACTTGGTTAGAGAGACTCATCCCCAGCTCTCTGCACCCTCCTTTCAGGTAGCTGTAGAGGGTGATAAGGTCTCCCCTCAGCCTCCTCTTCTCCAGACTAAACACCCCCAGTTCCCTCAGCCGCTCCCCGTACGACCTGTGCTCCAGACCCTGCACCAGCTCCGTTGCCCTTCTCTGGACACGCTCGAGTCATTCAATGTCCTTTTTGTAGTGAGGGGCCCAAAACTGAACACAGGAATCGAGGGGCGGCCTCACCAGTGCCGAGTACAGGGGTCAGATCCCTTCCCTGTCCCTGCTGGCCACGCTATTGCTGACACAAGCCAGGATGCCATTGGCCTTCTTGGCCCCCTGGGCACACTGCTGGCTCCTGTTCAGCCGGCTGTCAGTCAACCCCCCCAGGTCCCTCTCTGACTGGCAGCTCTCCAGCCACTCCTCCCCAAGCCTGTAGCGCTGCTGGGGGTTGTTGTGGCCCAAGGGCAGCCCCCGGAATTCGGCCTTATTGAAACTCCTCCAGTTGGGCTCAGCCCATGGCTCCAGCCTGTCCAGGTCTCTCTGCAGAGCCTCCCTACCTTCGAGCACATCAACACTCCCGCCCAACTTGGTGTCAATCTCACCAACTAGCCTCAGCTAAGAACTCACCCCAGAGCAAGTGCTGGTGGGCAGACCTCGCTCTTCACTCATGAGCCCTCTCTCACTACCTGAGAGCACTTTATAAAAGGTACCAAGGATGCACTCTAGCAACCCTTTACAAGCACTCTGGTTAACTTTAATCTAACACGCCTTAGGTGGCAGCCACCTCTCATCTCTCCTGAAATAATGTGGTCCTCTCACTAATTGGATCAAGGCAGGCTGTCACACTAATTTCAACCCCTACAAACTTCTCCAGCTTAGATAAAATGTGTCAAGTGACTCCAGAGAAAGCCAATGATGATGCATTATTATATTTCACACAGTTCCCCTGTGGCTAACTTTCCTAAACAAACTAGAGTTGTGCTCAATAGCATATTTATTAATTGAAAACCAAAAAGAAGTTGCTGCTGAAGATGATTTATTCTGTCTCAGAAAGCAATGTGCTTCTTCTGAAAGGCTGCTGGTAGGCTTTCAGCATATACTGAGATCCTACAGTAACTCTATTTAATATCAGAAACATTTTTTGTTACAAGTTTGGAAATCACTTAAAACAGCGGTCATTTGCTCTACAACTGGAAAGTTTTAAGCACTATGAAAATGGAGCTCAGTCATTTATAATTAGGGACTGTCATTTATACCTCACTTTCTGGTGTTTCATTCTGCTCCCAGTTGCAAGCATCCAGAGAATCAGCTTTTGCCTGGCCAGGAATGTCTCATTCTGCTCTCACCATCCGCCCAAAGAAACCAGCAAGGCAGGATATTTGTTCCCTCTTGTTTATAATAGGAAGTCACTATAAATCACTTACCAATGGAATCCTGTATACCTTTCCATTAGCATGAGCTTTCAGTATACAGTTTACTGTAGCATGCAGTGCCAAGAGTGTAGTCACTGGACAATACCAGCTTTGTGATACAGTATGGTATTTTTCAGGACTCACATAATTATTAATAATATATGTAGCATATTTTTTCTTTTTCACCATGAATTTCTTCATAAATATTCACTGGCTGATCCTGACAGCTCTCTTGCAAGGTAGCCTGCAGTCCCATTTTAGCAGAGATGGAAATGAGTTTCAGAAGTCCAAAGACAACATGCCTACGCAATACTTTGACCATTTCAAAAGCATTTAAGAGCAGAATTTTCCAGGATTTCTCCTATATTTAAAATGTTTTCTTTTGTTCTTCTGCTATCAGAAAGGCCCACCCAAATAAAATAAACCCAGGGTTCTTGCAGGCAAACCATCCTTAAACTGGACAATAGCATCACTTACCTCCAGTACACTGCCACTGCACCTGACTGTTGTCAAAATAATATACAAATAATTCACAAGAAGACACACATCTAAGTACATGCACAGTGCCCTTTTACATACTGCATCCACTATTAGAGAAGAAAGCCAGAACATAAATGCCGTAGCACATATACCTACTCCCATTTACAAAATACGAAGGCTCTCTGGCTACGTGGCACTTGCGGCACATTGAAATATTTCAGAACAATTCAGACCTTTACTGTTCACTGAGTCCAGACTAATAACTTTTACATACTTGGATGACTTCAGAGGTGTGCTAAATAATGTTAATTATAGTTACATTTTATTCTTTGGATCTAAGAATTCTGACCTAAGAATATCACACGTGTGTGGTGATGAACTGACTTCTCCTGAAGGCCCTGCTGGGAACAGCAAAGGAAAGACCAACCACTTACGTAGGACCAAGAAGCATCCACGTTGCTCCCCCACTCGGTGTTATATACAGCTCAAGCCGAACCGCAACAACTGGCTTAAAATCCTGCTTTGTGTTATCAGGTAACACTGACAAAGAAAAGATGGCTTGAAACCAACAGGGGAAAGAATGTGTGAATGAGGGAATGAGACAGAGAGGAAAGGGTACAGAACATTATGTAGTGGGGAAAAAATGGACAGGGAAGTCAAGACACAATAGGTCAGTCCCACATGACCATCATATTTCTTGAAGCTACTTAAACTTGTACAGATTCCTGACGAATTACACACCTTCTACTCTAGCTCAAAATGGAGGGAAAAAAAAAACCTGCTGGCCCCAAATAGTGAACACTATAAAATATTTGTTGGTTCAATAAAAGGTCCTGTATAACTTATCTTCATTTTAAAATTGGCAATGTTATTCAGCTGTTTCTCTCGCTCCCTCTCCTGAACTTTCTTTTGTTGGTTTTGGAGACTGGCTTAACATGTGTTGACCAGCATTTTCAAAACAAGCAAGAAGAGAAAAAAGAGGGAGGAACAGGAAATAAATTGGGGCAGCTGAATGAAAAATGAAGTTTACATGTGTGAGTAAATTAGTGGTGAGATGAGGTATTTCTGTAGGTCACATACACACACACCTTGACTCTAGTATTTTCCAGACTGCAGTTTCAGGGCACATCTGGCTTTCAGATCTCTGATTCTTCAAGAATAAAATTGGGTTAACTAGCATTAATATTCCTGTACTTTCCTGCATGGACACATCTTCTTTCCTCCCAAAAGATCCCAAAGTACCATGAATCACACCACATCACTAACGTTCACCCACATCTGGAGAGGGAAGGTGGCTTAGCCCAGGCTGCTCAGCAGAGCAAGGGAGGGGAAACTGTAGCCCAAAGCACCAGGCCAGGCCTTTGCTCTTAAATGGAATGTCATTTAATCTTGGTACAGACCGTAGCATCTTTTGAAAAACCCCAGCGCAGCAAACGGTGGCTCCCCCATCTTGAATCAGAGGAAGCAGGTGTTGGCTTTCCCATGCTTACACTTGCAGGGCTCCCATTTTGAGCCTGATGTGAACAGACAAATGAGTTTCTGAAGGTTGATACTGCTCAGCCAGTCACCCACATACCAAAGGCTTTCTACACAGAGACAGGACTCGTCCGATCCAGCAGAAACTCTTAAAACTCTTTTCCTCTTGCACCATCCTCTCAGGTGTCCTCAGGGACATCAGACCTATTAAGGATGAATTATGGAGAAGTGCAGACAGGAAAGCTCACGCTGGAAGGGACTCCAAACTGCAGAATCTCCTACAGAAATGTTCCCCAAACTCACCCTAGTGGCTGACCTCCTGCAGACCCTGGGCCACCTCCACACGGGATCTGCTCAGTGTTGTCCCTCATGAAGCCATTCCTGCCTACAGCAAGTCCTGGACTGGGCAGGTCTGTGTGAAACCACCCGGCTGGGGCTGGCAGTGCTTGTGCAGCAGAGCTTTTTGGTGGAGGGACGGAAGCCCCCGCTGGAGTTTCAGATGACCTGTGGCTGCAGACACGGCGAGGCAGCGCGACGTGAGAGTGCGCATGATACCAGTCGCAGCTGGTCTGATCTCAGGGGGGTACCAGATTTCTACTGACAGAGATTTATTACCTTGTCCTTTTGTTGGGTGGGAGGAGGAAAGCTGTCAGAAACTTGCAGGAACAAGCTCTGGGCCCAGGCTCTAGAGAAAACTCCTTTTCAGCAAAGCTTTCATTTCCCACTGCCCTCTCTTTCTTCCAGCAGGAGGTTGTGGAGCAGCTTGTAATGAAGTCACCCCCACAACCCTGTTACCTCACTCCTTTGGCTTCACAGTGACACCAAGTATAACAACTGACCTGTCATCAGCTGTTACGTCCTTTCAAGATGAACAAACTGCATAATGACAATTTATGTTCACAGTGACAGCTACAGTGAGTATTTTTCCCTGTTGTTCTGGTGTTTTTTTTTTCCAGGAACAGCTTTCGCCTTGGTCTGACCTCTTCTATTAAGACCCATAGGTTAGTCTTGCCAATGTCAGAAATATCCCTTTCCCACCATGCCTCAGACAAAGCCTTTTCAGTGAAATCTTTCTTTGAAATTTGCTTCTTACACCAAAGCATCAGATATAAACTTTAACTGTGAGGGACTGGTACCTCCAGTTTTTTTCCTGAATACCTGGGAAATTGAAGACTTTTTTTCCCTGTGCAGCCTGGAGCCTGCTGAAGTGGGAGTAGGCATCTAGTTACATTTTAATAGATGGGATTTTTATAAAATGAGTGTACATGCCCACAGAGACTGGGATAGGTGTATTTTATAAACCATAAAAGAGAACTGAGTTTGCAAGTCTATATTAACATTTGCATTAATAAGTGCACTGAAAGCCCCACATAATAGTAGGCATGGTGCAAATGGTCTTACAGTCTTGGGCTATGCACCTGCATGTAAGAATTTATGAGTTAGCAAACTAGATACAAACCTGGTGTAAATCACTTCATTGTTCAGGCTGTCACGGCTGGCTCTAAATTTCCCATGACCAGTGACAGTGTGTTCTCCTTGGTGAGCTGCAGGGCACTGTGTGAGACTTGTTTTCTTAGCCAGACTTTAGCAGGGCTTAAATGGGAGTCAGGGCTGTGTAGAGTTGGAGGCGAGCTGTTAACGAACTGACGGTTATATGGTATTATTTTCTTTTCAGGTTTGCTGCAAAGCTGACTGAAATCAAATCTTTCCTCGTTGAGTTGGCATGTAATTAATAGTGTAATGTTGTCAAGATTCCTTGGTGATGGTCTCCTATATGCGTTTCATAATGGATAAACAAATATCTGACCCAGGCTTCATTTTTCGGGTGTTATTTAGAAAAGGATTTAGAGCAGGTGCTGTGCTGACTGGAAGGATGAAATAGCTCTCCTATTGCAAACTGTTACGGGTTAACAGTGAAAACCAAGTTAGGCAGCAGGGAAGAAAGGAGAAGAGAAAAAATAATAAATAAAGGGTATGGGAGAAGTTAAAAAAAAGGAAATGAGAAAATGACAAATGAAGATTCATTAGGAAAGAGTAAGGAGTATGAAAGGAGAAAACATATCAGTGCGTTAATTTTCTTTATTTTCAATATAAAAATATCTTTTTCCCACCCAGGAATCTCGCTGTTGTGCAGGCAGGCACGTTCAGGCTTTCACTCTGGATCTAAAAAGTTTAATTGGGAGCTCTTAAAGCCTAAAATAAGGCTTTAAAAGTAAAAAGCTGAAGTCAAATGCAGCCAGGGTAAGCACTATTACACTCCAGCCCGATTGTTTTTCATTAAAAAAGCAGGGTGAAAGGGAGGGTTTCAAAGCCGTATTTCAACCCTAGGCTGACACTACAGCAGTAAAATCTGATTTTGTTATGCTAGTTGGCTGTGGGTTTGGGAGCAGACCCTACATATGCGGTGTAACGTTATGATATGAATGCATGCACACAGGATATTTTCAGAAGCCTCCTGCAGAATTCAGAGAAATGTGCCCCCTGTTCCCGCGGCCCCTCTTGCAGGAGCCAGCTCCTCTCCTGCCCTTGGGAGCCAAGTGGGCTCAGACATGGCATAGGCTGCACAAAGGCAATTTAAATTACAAGGTGCTGTATTTTCAGGCAAGTGGAGGAACTTCTAAGTGAATGCCAGAACTGATTTCCAGGGTGTGTTTAGCCAGCAGCATGCAATAAAGAATGGATAAGTCTGTCACAGAGAGGAAATTCACTGTTTCTTTCACTTGCCTGTAAGATAAAGAAAGGACTGACAAATAAGGTCTTTTTAAATACAGCTACTTCCATGCACTGCATGGGGTACTGGGATGTGCACAATACTTATGTCCAAATATGAAACCCCAGGTACCTTAGTTATGTCCCAAACTTAGTGCACTCTGTGTGATCGCAAGCATTAAAATTCAAGCAGCTTGTATGGAAGTGCATAAGCACATACAGGGCTCCAAGAGTCAAGTAGCTTTCAAAATGGCTGTAAACTGCATAAGAACCTCACAGTAATCCCAACCAACTGCTGCACAACAGATCCTACAAATGAAAGAATTACATGTGAAATCTAAAAAATTATTTGTGTCTATAAGGAGATACAGATATGTTTATATATATATACATATCTGCATTTGCTTCTATATTATGTGTGCATAAAAATGGGAAAGCTGTCTGCCTTCCCACTGAGCATACTGTGAGATACAGCAGCATGATCACATGTGGTATTTTCTGTGGTGACCACCTCCCTGAAGGTGCAGGACAGACCCTCTCTGGGGAAGAACCCAGAGCAGCAGGTTAGACCTTTCCCCGCACAACCTCAGCGGCACAGCACAGTGGTTCCGAGGCTGTTGCGGGAGAGGAATGCAAGAAGATAAAAGATAGTCAGATGGATTTAACAATGCCAGTAAATCATGTTAGTGATTGACAGTCCCTCTGCTTGTGCTACAGGTTTGTGTGGGGCTTGGTAAGCTCTTCTAACTGACCTTTTCACAGATGCCACAGTACATTCCCCAATCTCTGGACTCTGACTCAAGAGCCTGGGCTCTCATCTTCAGCAGTGACCACCAATGAGGTCAACAAGGGCTGTGCTTTGAATGTATAAAGAGCCATGAAATCGTTAACAGCTACAAGATCTTAGGTTATCTAAAATGACTTCAAACTGTGATTTTTTTGGTGCCTCGGTTCCCTATTTGTGAAATCCTACACACGTCGTATAAAAAGAAGTTTATTGAAGTTTGCAAAGGACCAGATGGAATGTATCAAATGACACTGAACAGCAGATCATGAAATTAATCATCCTGTCCTGAGAGGCTCAGCTCTGCGTTCACATTAGTGATTTTTTTGGTAGAGAAGTGGCAACAAGCACCCAGTGAGGATGTGAGTTGGGTTTTGAGGCTTCTTTCAAACTGGGCCAGCTCACATATGTCAGAAAAGCATCTCTTTCCTTATCTAGCTAAAAATGTGATGAGAACCATTTTACTCAGCATCCTGAGGAGTTACAGGAACCTAGGCAGAAAGCTGTAGTCCCACACCTCCCTGATCATATGTAGAATAACCAGTAGAAAGAAACATTGTTGAGTGAGCTGCAGGGAGAATAGTTGCCTGTGGACTAGTCTCACCTCCAACTGCACAAAAATTATTTTAGTGTTTCATTGCATTATTTCTGAATCAAGTTTTTAGTTCTGCTCCCTCTTCTTTCCCTTGTGAAGCTATTGCAGTCTTCATGCTCCTTCTCACCACAACTTGCAGTGTTATTATTTCCATTACAGGATTTCTTCCCAAACCTAAATATTCCCAGACACCTTCTGAACAGGCCCTCAGAGATTCTAATAAACTGGGAGGTATCTCAAGAAGGGCCGTGTTTTCAGTTTTCCTATTCACCGAGCAAGTGAGAGGTAGCACAGCAAACCAGGCAAAAGGGAGAAGGCTCTTGGAGCACAAAAATCATGTGCCCAGAATTATTCAGGAAGATGTACTTATTTGCCAAGTGGTTTTGAAGAAGCAGGAACACCTCCTTCTTCTCCAAACATCATCTTGCATTTAAAATGGTTTGAGTCCTAGCGCAGTGCAATTTCAATGACTCTGCAGAGGAACTGTACTTAGAAGAGCTCAGAGACCATCCTGGCTATCATGGAAATTGATACAGTGTAATAAATAAGCCAAACTGAGCTTGAATCCTCAAGGAGAAGCAAAATCTTAACACTGCAGATGCTCACTAATAGAAAGTTGTAAGAGGCCTTCACAGCAGAGTCTTTGCGTAAGATCAATGAGGCTCCCGCACTCCAAAGGAGCATGTGTGGGAGGTCCTGAAACAGTAGTAGGCCAGTATTTAACATTGCAAAGGCCGGGGATGTGAACAGCTTTGTGGAAGAAGATGGAATTGCTCTTTTGGCAAAACATGTGAAACTGTCTGTGATAACGGGAATGAGAGCAAGGATGACTGAACAAATATTTGCACTGAATGTCTTGTCAGGACAGGGGAATTGCTACTGATATGATCTTTACTTTCAATGTTACTGCTTCTGACAGTCTAACAGACTTTGCAGATGTTTATTGGCCACTAAATCATTCTTCAAGAATGTTGGCTCCATTCCCAAACCTGAAGAGTCTGAATGTGAAGGGGTTTGTTATTCAACACACACTGCTGCTGCTTTTGGAGACAGAGATTTTCAAAAAACCAGCAGGGAAGCATCGTCAACTGATAACAACATGGAACTGAATTCAGACTTCTCAGCACTCAGGCACTCAGATGTTGAGGCATGCTTGAGTAAATGAGCACCACGTAGCAGGGCATCGTGTATCCACGTGGCATAGCACACTGTCTCAGCTGCAACAGCAACGCTACGCCACATTAACAGACCTGTATCGTAGCAAAGATTGCTGAGGAGAGACAGGGCTTCCTAACTCATCCTGACCTTAATATACTGCTTGCAGTTCTTGGTATAGCACAACTGCATGAATTTTGAAGCCTCTGTAAAATTCACTCCATGACGCTGCAGAGATTATTGCTGTTCCGTGCGCTACTCTAACTGTAGAACACGCTGCATAACAACAAGGCGTATTCAAACCCTCTGCCATTCATCCCAAGAAGAGTAGTTCGCAAAGATGCAATTGCTGAGCTCTAGAGGACTCTAAGCCACAATATTTCAAGCCAAACAGATTTGCTTTCAAATAGAGAGTATCTGAACCATGGGCAATATGCCCAGGCTGTTTCTCTCAGTGAAGATGCCAATTCTCTGAGATCACTGCAGAGAGCTCTCACCTGAAAAAGCTACACTGGACACTGGGAACTATACCTAAATAGCAACTACACCAAAACAGTAGTAATAATTGTGACAGTAATAGCACATATCTTTTAAATAATGAGTGATAAAAAAAAATCCATGCCTTTGTACTAATAAAACGACAAATTATTGCAGCACAATGTATTATTACCACAGAGAAAAAATGTATTATCCAGAACTATTAAACATATTTCTCCCCAAAAGGCACGGATTACCTTGACAAGCGTAGCCCAAGTCACAATATCGGACATGATCTAACAACAGCTAAAGCCAATAGCCTCCTCTAAACCCTAACTGAATTGCTGGCTAGCAGCCTCCAATATCAGAGACAATGTTATCTAAAGCAGACCCTTGTAAATTTTTTTCCTGCAAAGTGGGTGAATATTGTTTGTTTAAAAATATCAGGTGGCACAGAGATAGGGTGCTTCAGAAATATGCAAGACAGGTGCAGAAGGCAATAATGTCATATATACTGCATATTTGTTCTGCATTAGCTCATACACATTTTTCTGGAAGTCAGGAGATTTCTATTAGGGAATTCTCTCCTGCAACAGTTTGCTATATCAGACTTAAAACACATATTTAGGGGAAAGCCATATGGTATTTATGGTTAAATCAACCGACACTTAAAAAAAATATGAATTTTGAATAATTTGAAAGATCTGTGGATCAAAAATAACTCAGAAGCTTTATTAGCATGCATAAATAACCAGTCTTCCCTCCTGTTGCCGTAAATTAAAAAACCCCCCTCCACTCAGCAGAGTTTATGATCAGAGGAAACTGGGCTACATATACATGCATAAAAATATGGAAAATATCTGCATTCATAGAATGCAATTCCTTACACAGATGCAGTTGGAAATCACTGTGGACTTTTTGCTTGAGGAGCAACCAAATTTATCTCACAGTAACTCACACTTCTGTAATTTGCTTATGTGTCTTCCCTGACTTGCTTAGATGCTTGCCTAAGGGTAAGCAGCATCTGCAACAATCATGTATTTGTACAGATATCCTTACATCCTCACCTTCCAGATCCTGAATTTCCACTTCTATAGAGAAAAGCAATGAGACAGGAAGCCACAGTTCCAGACATAAGTAACATTCATATTTTTGGGGGAGTAACTATGGTGAAAAAAACTGAGATCCTTTGATCCCTCCAACACAGTCCCACTCTAAGCTTTGAGACTTTGGATGGAGGATAAGAGGACTCTAAGCAGCCACACAAGCCAGGCAGCTACAACACAAAGGCTTTACGGTCTGTGAACTGAACTGTTACATGTTCTCTAATTAACTTGCTGCTATTATTAGTAGTACTTCTACTTCCACTTTTAAAACAATAAAAGCTTTTTCTTTCATTTTGCAAGAATTTTTACTTTTTACTTTTGCCCGTGAGCCAAAGCTTTCCCATAGAGCAATAGTCTATATATCACGGTTTGCAAAGTTTATGGAGACCTGCAAAGGGTCTGCAAAGCAGATGCAGCAAATCTCATGTGCAGACAACGCCTGCTTTCCTCCTGTGGTGGTTTAAGCCCAGAGGTCAACCATGCAGCCGCTCACTTACACCTTTCCCCTCAGGAATGGGAAGGAGAAAATAAAGCAATAAGGCTCGGGAATTGAGATAAGAACAGAGAGGGATGACTCACCCATTACAGTCATGGGCAAAAGACAGACTCATTAGGGGAAGAAAAGAAGAACATCAGTTTATTTCAGACACTAACAACAACACTTAACAGACAGAGTAGGACCATAATAAGTCTTACCACATCTTAAAAACAACTTCCCCTCCCCCTTCTCTCTTCTCCCAATTTCTCTACCTCCTCCCCATCAGTGGTGCAGGGGGCAGGGAATGGGGTTGCAGTCAGTCCTGCTGCTCCCTCCTCCTCAGGGGAGGACTCCTCACATTCTTCCCCTGCTCCAGCATGGTGTCCCTCTCATGGGAGACAGTCCTCCATGAACTTTCTCCGACATGAGTCCTTCCCACAGGCCATAGCGTTTCCTAAGCTGCTCCAGTGTGGGTCACTCCCATATGCTGCCGTCCTCTCAGAGCTGAACTACAGCAGCAGGACCTTTTTCCCACCGAGTCCTGACTTTCTTCAGGCACGGTCACCTGTTGTGGTGTGGTGTCCTCCATGGGCTGCAGGTGGATCTTGCTCCACCATGGACCTCCGTGGGCTGCAGGGGGGTGGCCCTGCCATCTCACCACGGCACACAGGGGAGTCTCTGCTCTGGCACACCTCCCCTCCTCCTCCTTTTTTCCACTGATCTCTGTGTTCGCATAGGTGTCATTCTTGCAATCGCCACTCCTCCTCCCAGGCTCCCCTTCTTAGATATGTTTTTGCAGAGGTGCAGCCACTGTCACTAACTGGCTCAGTCTTGGCCAGAGGCAGGTCTGACTGGGAGCAAGGGGAACTTCAAGAAGCTTCTCACAGGGGGCCACTGCTGTAGCCCCCTCCCCTGCTACAAAAAAGCCCTGCCACACAAACGCAGCACACCTCCCCACCCTCCTTCTGCAACACCAGGCAAACAGACCATGCACCACAAGCAAACATTGTATGTGAGGGTACAGATTCACCAGGGCACACAAAACACTCACACAACCTACCTAGTTGGCTGTCATCCACTGTTTTATTTCAGATGAACAAACTAGAAAGGTGTTGGCAAAACCATCCCCTCAGAGCACCGCTGAGAGAGTGGCTCACCCAGCCTGCAGGCAGAACTCGACTAGTGCGGGCATGTACCACCAAGACCAAATGCAACTCAAGTTTGAGCATACCTTTTTTTAATACTTTCCTGAGAGCACTTCCTAGGCAACTATCATATCAGGTAGGAGCATCTTGAGGGCTGCTCAACACACCCTGAAGGCTGCTGACCACCCACAGCCCCATCCACAGCGAGGCTCTCCCCTTCCTCTTGCACCTCAAACCCAGCCAGCTGCTGCTGCAAGCTGTTGTAACTGAAGGCAAGTTCTGCCTCATGGTGCTAAGCTTTGCAATTAGTACCTGCCTTGCAACCTCCAAACACCCAGAGGCCCAGTTCGTGGGCTTAGATGGCAGCTGGCACATTCTGGTTTTATTTTTATTTTTACAAGCCTCATTAGCCTTTGTGGTGAAGCAGAAATCCCAAAATAAGAACCAGGATGCCGACACCATGAGTGTCTGTACCCTTAGTCCCCAAGGAGGAGCTGCCCAGAGGAAACAACAAAGTGTCTAAAACCCCTGTCATCAAGGCCTTTTCCAGATGATTCTGGTTAAGAAGCCACATTGCTCAGCCAGGTCTGGAAGCAGCATCTCCTCCTTTGTTTTTAAAATCTGTGTTTTGGTACAGAGAACAAAGTATAGGAATATGCATGAATGTACAGGTTCATCCACTGTTTGCAATTCTCAATTTAAATTAGTTTTTCAGTCATGTTATCCTATTTTCTGTCATCTTCTTCCTCTTCTCCCTGCTCCCCATTTCAAACTGCATCCTCATTTTTCTTTTACTACTATGATAGGGCAAGAGAAAACTGAAGCAAAAAGAGACTTCTGCTGCAGTTCCTTCAAAACATTCCAAGACTACCTGCTGGGATGGTACTTGGCTTGAAAAGTCAAAGCCATACTGTAGCAACCCATCAAATACAAGATGCTGTGTATACTTGGCTGCTGGCATTAAACTGTTGTTGCCATAAGAATTTGTTCGAAATTTGAAAGTGGTAATTGTTGCCCCAAAAAGGCAGACTGGGAAGTATGACTCGTGGATATGAGGCACAAAGACTTTGGGAAAGTTTCCCCTGGCCACAACGCTGTGCACGTGTCCTACGCCTGAATTTGGTGCATAAGCTGGTTTATACACAGCACTTTAAAAAATATCCATTCAAAATAAGTGCCTTGAAACAGATACTGGCAATGGATGAGACTCACTTGCTGTAATTACTGGAAGACAAATTTTTGAGCAAGACTCCTATTTGACTTCTGTCCAAAGTCTCCTTGAGACTCCAAATGTTGTGGCCTTTAAAATTAAGAAAGCAAAATGTTTTCTGTACAAATGATTAGTGATATAAGAGCAGAAAATTTGCATAGTAAAACTAAGGTTTAAACTGTACTCCTGTTTGTCAATAAAATCAGACTGGTTTATTTTTGTGTCTCAGAGAAAAACAGGATCTGTAGAAAATGTGTAGTAGTAGACTAAGTTTTAGAAAAATGGGCAAAATTTATAAATAGAAGTACTACTTTTTCAAGGATCATGAAAACAGTATCTAGATATGTAGTGGTTTAAAATCTAATCTCTAATTACTATGTTTACTTGCACAGCACATTTAAAAAAAAAGCAGCATTTCTATTTCAAGGAAATGGTAGAAAATTTTCTCTGGTTATATAATGAAGCTTCAGATGAGTCTACAGCTCTTTCTCTAATTGTTGTTCTTGTTCTTATAGATGTATGTAAGAAACATTCCTTTATAAAATATTCTTATTTTCTAAGCAGCAGAAAGGATGCCCTCCTTTGGACAAATACACACTTTTCATTTATTTGGAAAAAAAAAATTAAATAGAACAAATTTCCAATCAACACTTCTTAATCTGAAACACTAAAAATTCTTCCATATTGAAAGCAGATTGCTCTGAAGAAACGCTCATTTTCAAGGTCATAACAGTGCTGGCAAAACTCAGAAAAAGTTGTAGTCCAACTTGCTTGTGTTCAGCTGTGTTTACTTAGTCTCAATTTGACAAAAGTCTGCCTCTGATTATACATAGCAGTCATCTGCCCACAGATAAATAGATATTACACAAACGTTTGGAGGGAATGACATTTGGCTACCATTATTTTTGGAATAATTTACTCTGCATCCTGAACTTAAAACACCAAAATGATTCATAATGTTTTTTGGACCCAAGTATTTCCATTTAATAAATAAATTTACCTCTATGACCTTTGTGGACTTTATATTTTAGAGGTTAGTGGATTACAAAAAGGTATTTTATTGTTAAATATTCTGTATGCTTGGGAAAGGTGGATTTACACAGAATTCAGACGAAAGCCAGCGGCACATCTGGTGCACGCACTACAGCAGGTCAGAGCCCAGCACCTGTGCTGCAAAGTGCTCAGGGTGCTGCTGGAGAGGGGGCTCTAACTCAGCTCTACAAGACATCCCACCCCATCGCAACCTGCGAGCACGTGTGTATTGCTCAGCTCTCTGCAGAGCATGCACCTGCAGGTAAAGTCCACATTAGCAGAAAACCTAATGGCAGTGCCTGAGATACAAATGTGTTTTCTATTTCAAATGTAACTTAATAGTTTTCTGTCTATTATTTGTAGGAGGAAAAATGAATACATATTGGATGCCAAACTGAAATTTTGCTTTATCCAAGGCAGGTAGTTGCTCCGTGACATTTATAAAAGAGCTTATATTTTAAAGCAGACCTGCAGTATGTCTCTGATGTGGATAGAAATTTTGTCCAGTTAAAGATACTACTTAGCCTAGGGCATTTTGTGCTATAAATTATATAGGGATAAGGCAAAAACTTACAAATAAATTATAGTCCCTACTCCCATTCCTTCCCTGATGTCTCTTGCTAATTCTCTCCCCTTTAAGCCCCTGTCAGTTCCCCAACATCAACTACCCCAAACCATGCTTTCACATAAAGCATTGGAAGTATTGAGGGCAATTCAAAGTCCATGAGGGATATTATTACCGCTGTACATTTAAAGTCAAAAATGTTTCCAGAGTGTGGTGATAGATGGAAGAATAAAACCTAGACC